AAAGTATTCACCCCCCTGGCATTTCTTATTTTGTTGCATTACCACCTGGAATTAAAAAACTGAGTTTTTGACGGTTTGTATCGTTTGATTTACACAACATGCCTACCACTTTGAAGATGCAAAATCTTTTCTTTTCTATTGTGATACAAAAACAAGAAAACTTTGTAGAGCCACCTTTTGCAGAAACTGCAGCTGCAAGTCTCTTGGGTTATGTCTCTATAAGCCTGGCACATCTAGCCACTGGGATTTTTGCCCATTCTTCAAGGCAAGACTGCTCCAGCTCCTTCAAGTTGGATGGGTTTTACTGGTTTACAGCAATCTTTGAGTCATGCCACTGATTGTCAATTGGATTGAGGTCTGGGCTTTGACTAGGCGATTCCAAGACATTTAAATGTTTCCCCTTAAACCTCCCGAGTGTTGCTTTTTAGGGTCATTGTTCTGCTGGAAGGTGATCCTCTATCCCTGTCTCAAATCTCTGACAGACAAAAAAAACGTTTCCCTCAAGAATTTCCCTGTATTTTACGCCATCCATTCCTTCTAGGGATGCACTGATACCGATACTAGTATCTGTACTGATAGAGTATTTGTACTTCCCATATCAGGAAGCCGGGACGGGACCTGATTGGCCGGGAAGACAACTCCATGCTCCCTCATCACTTGGTGGCGCGAAAGCATGGAGCCGGCTTCCCGATTGGTCAGGAAGCTGGGCGGCGAGTCATTACCCGCCCTCCGACTTCCTGATTGGGCAGAAATCTTTCTCCGTGCCTCATCACCTGCTGACGAGTGTGCATGGAGACGGCTTCCTGGGTAATCAGGAAGCTGGGCGGCGAGTCATTACACACCGCCCGGGTTCCTTAATGGGACTTCTGCTATTTGGTATTGGCGAGTACCGATACCGGTGCATATCCAATTCCTTCAATTCTGACCAGTGTGCCAGTCCCTGCCGATTTTGGGTCTGCACCAGATATAGTGTTTTCTTTAAAGGCCGAAAAGTAAAATTTTAGTCTCTTCTGACCAGAGTACCTACTTCCTTATGTTTTTTTCTGTAAGCAATAGCTTTTTTTCTGGCCACTTTTCCATGAAGGCCAGCTATGTGGAGTGTACAGCTTAAAGTGGCCCTATGGACAGATGCCTTCCCCTACTGTAAAACTGACATAAAAAGGTTTGGTCTATATACACTTTATATCCTATTGTAGGATGACAACATACAGGATTTTTGTGGACAAAATGTTGTCATCTCTGATCAGTCTCTTTCCTAAAGTACTCAACCACTCCTATAAACATAAAAGGCTAATTATTTTGTAGTCCAAGAAAAATACTAGGAGAGAGAGAAGAGAGAGGTCTCCAATGGGTTCAAACGGCAATCTTGACGTGCCAAGAGAACCCCCATTAAAATTTAAATCCCAACAATGTCACAGGGGAACGAAGAGGAGGAGCTACAAAGGAGCGAAAGGGCAACCAACCATCTCTGAAACAAGATAGTGCAAAAACCTGACCCGTGAAAGTGCCGAGAGAACGAAATGCTAGTCCAGACCCAGCTGCAGGAAGAAGTGGAGTCGTTCCCCGAAGAAGTCTCTTGGTTGGAACCGCTGCAACGCACACCAAGTGAAGCATTTAAGATCCGATAATAAACCTTGTCATAAGTAGACTTTCTAACTTTTAGTTTTATAGAAATCGTACTCCGAGATGTCTCAATTTCACAAAACCCATGTTGTTATAACATTAACCAACAGCAGAAGAGCAAATCAGCATTTGGGACAGAAGATCATTACGATCTGGCAGTCAACGTGGAGTGTCTGCCAGGAGTCTTACCAGGTCAGCATACCACATCTGCCTGGGCCAACTCAGAACAATGAAAATAATCAGAATGCTCTTTCCCCACTAACCCGACCTTGATACTCAAGCTGATCATGGTGCTGGTGTTTTGGCGGGTTGGACAGGTGACACATGCGTTCTTCGGCTCCCAGTTGACATGTGTTTTCAACCATGAAAAAAGTAGCTGGGTCACAGTCCTGGCTTAGGCGACAGGAAATCAGAAAAAGCAAATTCAGCCACACAGTGCTCAGTCAGCAACCGGCCCAAAGTGCCACATAGGTGGCTGGGACGTCTGGGGAGAAAAACCTTAAGATCTATACTCAAAAACGTCTTCCTTTGCCAACAGCCATGACTGCACTGAACCCAAAAAAAGGCAAAAAGGTGAAGCTAAGGAGATAGGGAGGAGGAGCTAAGAAGATGAGGAATGGCAGTTTCAGCACAGTGCTCAACCACCGCACATCTCACACACAAAAGCCTTAATTCAATCAAAAGGAGGGCTCCCCTCACACAAAAAGAATAGGGGGATGCAGCTTACCCAAAGGATGAGCCAGGGATAGGCACAGCATCTGCCAATGCTCTGACCTGGAGTAACACACTCCGCTTCATTTCAGTTGAGTGTTTTAGGGATTCTGCAGTATTGTGAAACTGGAACACAGACCAGGTAATCCAAAAGAATTCAAGCTGTCACAAAAAGAGCACCAATATGAATTGGGAAAACCTGTGATCATTGGCTGACTGCACCAATATGAATTGTGAAAACCTGTGATCATTGGCTGACTGGAGAGACTTCAAGGATTTTTAATATCCAGCATGAATCTACCAGCAGCTGTTTGACAGTAGAAATGTTCCACGCAAACAGAAAACTGCAGAACTGGAGAAGACACATCCACCCTCCTGAGCACGATACTTTTTTCTCTTGTAGGCACCAGTGTAACCCGATGTCTAAGAATTCATGTGTCCCTCAATGGATTCGAAAAAGTATGGCTAGCATAAAAAATAAAATCGTTTTAATCGTTTTTGCAAGACAATATCAAAAGAAAGCCTTGTTTGTCCTAAAAACAACATAATCTCAAATAATGACAAAGTTATTGCTGAATCAATAGACCCATAGAAGAAATGTAAAATGTGCTCTGGGCCATAGGTGGTGTATAAAAGTACATGGTTATTAAATTTCATAATTGCCTGTGCAGCAATTATAGATGCAGGATTAAAAAAAAAAAAATGTATAAAGTTTTTGTTAGGATTTTTCTTTTTAGGCCAAGTGTGCCTACTATCCTGCTTACTTAATTTGTAACCAATCAGTTTTGTCTAGCTCTGCTCTTCCAGTTTATATTGCAGAACGAGACAGCCATCAAGTCTTCTTCAGATCAATCAACTTGCTCTAAAAGATGTTGGAGTTGTAACAGCAAGTTATCTTCCCAAATCAACCCGGTCAGCCCTGTTTTAATGTGATTGTTGGTTTTGAAACATCCATTATGATAAAGAACTTTATCGAGTCAATGACCGTTAAAAGGATTTCTTCTTTCCAGGCTATATCTAATGTTATGTGAGATTGTAATCCTTTTAATGCAAACACCCCAAAGAGGGTGGTTTGTAAGGAGAGAGGGATTTCTCCCAGATTAGCTCTGACAAATGAATAGAGAAGGCCGATTCTAAAGAGGTAGAGGAAAGAAGCACAAAATGTCCATATACAAATTTCATTTTAAAACTTGTACAAAATTAAAAAAAAAAAGTTTTATGCCAACATGATAACAAATGATATATAAATATAATGCATCATTTTTTTAATCTAGGAAAATAGCCCAGTTTTCGTATTACTGTTATAGTAACACTTAAGTACAAGCTCACTTAAAAAAAATGTTTAACAAATAAATATAGGACCGAATTGCTAGTGCCTCTAAAGCTGGAGCACAGGCCCATTTAAATATATGAGGAGTTACTGGTTAGGTGAACGTAGAGTAGATTTTTGGACCTGAAAAACACCAGGAGACTGCCACCATCATGGGAAGGCAAGTTAACATCCTGGCAGGAGACCACAAAGCTATCCCAGCAGCAAAAGGAGAGTGAACACTCACCTGTCCCTCTGCCAAACACAACGCCACTGTTGAGAAATGATCTTCTGAAGTCTGCTAAGAAACGAATACTAGCGGACAGGCACTTCCCATGTCTCCTGGAGCACAGAGTGGTTCCTAGTGGCACCTACTGTGTCCAGTAGTGACATAAGCGTTTGGTAGGAGGAACCATAGAAAGAAGGGGTGGAGCCAGGAGATAGACATTCCCAAAAATATATTTTTCTTAGCAGACTTCAAAGGAAGTTTTCACTGTAATAGAGAAGTGTTCAGCAGCAGGAGAGGTAAAGCATGTTCTCTCTTATTTGCAGGAGAAGCTTGTTTTAACCTCTTCCCATCAAACTTTTATAAGAATGTAACACCAGAGGAGTTACATGGGCGTCCTGATAAGGTGATCACTGCAATTGGCTGTCACAGTGATCATGAGCCCATCCTACCGGCTTCCAATCCTCACGGCGTGACTTGGAGCTATGCAGTGCTGGTGGTGTGCGATTGAGCATGCTCCCAGCACAAAACAGAGACCCTGGACCTATGCATACATTTGGTAGCGTAGCATAAAGCCTACCAGTGTGCTGCCACATATATGCATATAGCTGGTGTTAAGAAGCTAGAATACAAATGCACCTTTGCACAATGGTGAATATCACATTTACCTGGTTATAAACAGGGTAAATAACAATGGTAGCACCTTTTCCCACCAAGAACAGCTGTTGATGAATGTCAGTAATGGGTGCATCATCCAGTGACTGTGCAGGTGAATATATTTTCTGAATACAGTGAATAATTCACTAGTAAATAAACACTGAATGAATAGTAAATGTTACATTCACCAATTTATAATTGCACCCACAAATTTTAGTAAAAACAATTATCAATTGTAAAAAAAAAAAAATAAGCAAACAGCACAAAGAAGAATTTGCTTTCATTTCCTGTTGGGTTTCTGGGACAGGAAGTGAAAGAAAAATCACCTCAAGCACACAGATCGATTAAAAAAACAAAAACAAAAAAAACCTGTCAGGAGAGAGTTTTAGATGGCATTCCCTATGCCATCTAAAAATAAAAGTTTCAACTCAACATACACATTAAAAGTTAGACTTTTTATTCAAGTGATCATACCTGTCAAAATGTATACATTCCAATTATGAGTATATCAATGCTTCAAAATTCTCCCGTGATCGGACTTCTGCATTGCTACCTGTTAAGTGAAGAGGGAGGAAATGTTAAATTCAAACAAAAGGGTATATTTAAAAAAAAAAACACATGTATGTTATGTAGCACCGACATGTAGGGAAAAGGGGAACATAGTAAAGTAAACCTATTGCCCTAAGAACTCCGGGCGTAATTATTCTTAACCATTGCAGTGGGGCTACTAGCGCACTGCAAGGGTTATATGCTTGTTTTTGTCTAGGGACGAAAATACAAAAGTTATACTTACCTGAACCTTGGAGTCGGCTGGCTGCTACTCTGGTCCCTACAGCCTGTCTCCTCCTCCGCTCCAGAGATGAAATGTCCCTCTGCATCCTCACAGGATCTAAGATTGCTAGTGCGAAGGGGGAGCAAAGCAGCAGAGAATGGTCTAACAGCCAGCCAGCTGCGAGGTTCAGGTGAGTATAAACTTTATTTTTGTCCCTAGACTAAAACAAGCACTGCAAGGGTTAAGAATAATTAGTTCTTAACCTAACTTAGTTCAGAAGTTCTCCTTTTAGAAGATAAAATAGCTCTTCCCTGGTCATGGAGTTCCATAGCGTATAACACACACTAAGTATTACTAGGTCGTATATGACCACCATTAGAGCCTCATAGAAACTCCCAACCAATCTGGTGGGTAATCAGTAGTGAATCTAAAATAATATTTTACAAGTTATGCTTGTGTACAGTATTACCCTGGGTTTTTCTCAGCATGCCAGGAATGGAGCTGGATGCCAAGGACACAGGAGTGATATTAGTAGGGAGCCCAATGAATGAAGAGAACAACGGAAGATCCGGAAGAAGCAGTGGAGGAGACAGTGGCACAGCGGATGGAGCATTGACTGACAGCCTAGATGAGCTGGTGCTGGAGGAGAGCACACTTCTAAACCAAGTGCGCCATTATGTGCAAGTATGTTGTGAATACTTATGCATTATGGCAAACGTTCACCTTAAGTTTTGCAACTTCAATTACACAATACTAATGTGGTAGGACCAAACCAATAAACCATCATAATGATTATTTAGGAGGAGTGTGAAAATCTTGCATACAAAAAAAAAAATTAACTAAAATGTTCATAGACGTTAAAGAGCTGTGGTTAAAAAGAATGTGTGCCTCAGGCGCACAAAAATAGAAAGCACGGGGTACAGAACTGGGTTATTCATGGAAATAACTAATTAAATAAATCACCGAAAGTACAGTTAAGACGCTCTTAGAGTATTCTCTACACAATAAAAATAGAAATTACATGAGCAACCCAATCTGGCATATTTGAAACCAGACTCCACATAGCAACGTCTGAATAAAAATATCTGTTCAGATATAAGTTGTTGGCATCCAATTTACAGTACAAATCTAATTTTAACTTCATAACGACATAGAGAACAGACTAGGGCACTATTGAATCCTCGTTTACAGTTTCCTCAATACCTATAGCCTGTCTGATATCATAATCTGAAGCACACTATATCAAAGGACGCGGTGGGTATATACTGCCCCAACCACAGGCAGGGCAGTATATACCCGGGGCAATGAGAAATCAACATGTGGCTCACAGGTAATCCTTTTCTATTGTTAGTTTTATAAGTCATGGTAGGAGGATTTGCAGGGTTACAAGGGTACCTGCAAGTATGGTCATCTGTTTTAGTAAGCAGAAGATTCACTGGACAATTTTTAATAACAGGGGAAAATCCTTTAAAATGTCAATCATTTTTTATTAATTTTAAATGAACACAAAACATTAAATGGGGAAAATCCTTTAAGAAGCTGGACTAGAATATTTTACTACCTCTTAATGAAGGACAGTCACACATGTATAATGTCCACATTTATTGCTCTAGACTTTCCTCCATTTAATTGCAACAAAACCAGCATAAATAATGCATACATTTTTACAGCAGTCTGATCCTGTATCACAAAACTTCATTATGACGCTGTTGATTTGAGCCAAGATACTTCATTATTATACTACTTACTGAAGTATGGCTTTACACAAATCTAGCACATACGTACTGTTATATTTGGGAATAAACGGTGTTTAGAGGGACAGTATCTACTTATTTTACTGCTAGTATATTTAGATGAGAAACAATGCAGATACTCAAAATTGACTTAGTAGTAGTGCATACAATAAGATATAGGTTGGGTTCACACTACAGCTTACATGCCAGTGCACATGCATTCACATGAACTGGTGATGAGTTTTATGTGATTAAAGTCTAACTCCAGCCAAAACTTTAAGTTCATACAGGGAGTAAAGACTGAGAACCTCTGAACGTCTTTTTTTATTGCGTTTTGCATCTCCATTAGAAAGATTGTCCATCACTTGCTGTATTCTGTTAGTCCAATGGACAAGCTTTAACAAGAGTAAACAGGGGCAGTGGCATAAAAAAATAAATCCTTAGCACTTTCAGGGCAACCTTTTTTTTCCAATAAGAAGTTTCAATATACTTATTAGTCCATAAATATTTCTACATGATCACTACTTCAGTAGCTATGCTCTATGTAAGCAAATTGTACGTGTGTATTTAAGCAACTCTTAGGTGTTTGAAGAATAAACTACTTGATGCCTGCTATACAAATAGAAGTGTCAGGTTTGGCTTAAAAATATAGCTCTATGGATGGAAATACATTTTGTTTTTGTTTTGTGTAACTGTAAAAGCTAAAAATTATTTGGATGAACATTAGCACAGGGGTAGCTGTGGTGTCCTGAACCCTAATGTGCAACATAACATACTAATGCAATGACATCATGCAATGACTGTGCTGTGACGGGCAACACAGTGGCTTCTGCCTTGCAGCACTGAGTATCCCCGGCCAGGTTACCATCTGCAAGGAGTTTGCATGTTCTCCCTGTGCTTGTATGGTTTTCCTCCGAGTACTCCGGTTTCCTCCCACACTCCAAAGACATGCTGGTAGGTTTATTGGCTCCTGTCTAAATTGGCGATGTATGTATGTATGTATGTATGTATGCATGCATGCATGCATGCATGCATGCATGCATGTATGGGAGACAGCGTCTTAGATTGTTAGCTCCTTAAGGGCAGGGAATTATGTGAATGTGCTCTATGTAAAACGCTGCACACATTGTCAGCGCTATATAAATACCAATTTAAAAAAACTGTTTGACCCCTAGCCACCTACCACCCTCTTCAGGTTGCACTGTAGGCAGACAGTGGAATGAGACTGGTTGATCCAAGAAATGTTTCAAAAGGAGAAGGTGCTTCCTCTAGGCTGAATGGCAGGAGAAAGAATGCACAGCGGGCACCTAGCACTCCACCTAGTGGATAACAACAGTGCTCAGCCTAAACCCATACCACTGTGAGATGGCAGTGGTGGGAAATGTAAAATGGTGCCCAATGGTACAAACTGTGAGATGGCTCCCAGTGCTCCAGCATTACCTACTCGTTAAGCAATCAAGACACAGGGTCGCATGAAGATCTAGATCTGGAAAGTGCCACAATGCAGAGCCCAGTGCCTGAGGGCAAGATTCCAAACTAAACTCCGTAAGTCCAAAGGCCTACTTAAAAGTAGTACAAAAGGCCAATAGTGTTTTACCTTAATGCATTCTCTGCATTAAGGTAAAAAATGCCTGCTACCTTTTCTATGACCCCTCCCATTCACTTTACTTCAGCTTTAAAGAAAAAAGCTCAAACGCAATAATACGCCAATAAACACAATACCAATTTGAAAGAACATGCTGTGGATATGGGCAAATATATTGTAGCACGCAAATGTGCTCCCCTGGTAAAGCCAATAATCAGGATGCTTTTGGGTCATATAATGAAAAATGCAGCAGCATGGGTTGAGCAAATTTATCCTCATTCCAATACCTAACCCAGCTTTCCCAATGCCTCCCTAGCTACTTAAGCGCTCATTCACACTGAGCATTTTGTAGTGCTTTTTCTGCTAAAAAAAAAAATCCCATCACATCTGAACGTCATGTTGCTTGTAGCAAAATGCCTGTCGCTTGACGAAAGTACATGAGCTTCTTTTTGGCAGATTCTGCGCTTCTTGGCCCCATAGACTTGCTGGAAAAACCGTGTTTGCAGAGTTTTCATGCACTGTTGCATATTTTTATATGCGTAAAATGTGCGTCTGTCCATTCACATTATTGTGCCACAATCTGCTCATTAAAACACATGACTATGTACGCACATTTTACGTGCGTAAAAATATGCACAAAAACTGGGCTACACAAAACGTGCAACACCTTATGGACACCTTATGTACGAACACCTTATGAACACCGTATGGACACCTTAAGGTTTAGTAAACCAAAAAAAGGTGACGATTTAGTAATTTATATCTGGTGTTTACAATCTTGTAATTTAGTGGAAGGTGCTCTCCACATCGCTATAAAGTTTATTGCTTACCATTACCCTTTGCATGCTACTAAATAAAATTCTTACCTTGTGTGTCACATCGTAGTGGTAACATTGTGACAGTTACTGCCCTATTTTGAGTGAGAGGATTACATCACAGAATAAGAAAACAGAAGTACTTTATTAAAGTCTAAGTTTTTAACTAATAGTGTTTTAATAGCATGCATCATATTAAATTCTATGTCATTCCTTTACCTCACAGATTTCACAACTTTATGACACACTCAGTCATTGAATAAGAGGGTGGAGCTGTGGAAGTAAGCCCTGTGTAAAGTGTGAGTCACAGAGCGATATCATATCCCCATTTCCAGTTACTGCATGCTGGAGGGAAATGCCTTTAGTGCAGGGATGGGCTAACTTCAGCACAGAAGCCATCTCCTCTGTTTACTTGGAAGCACTATACCAAAGTAAAAATTAGAATAGGGCATACGGCAACTACACTGGCCGAATTCTAAGAAAACACTTCATACATCTAAGCATACTCGTAACATATATCGAAGTATAATAAATCTGTGCTCTGTGTTTTACAAGAATCAGAATATAAAAATATTATATATAATAAAAATATTCACGCACGCACTTCCGTATCACACATCTCCAATCTAGAAGACAGTCTTCAAGCAG